AATGAGAGCGAAAGACGAGTATTTTTATGAGCTCATTGGACGCTTGTATGTCATCTTAGGGAAAACGTCTATTCCAGTTTTTTTCCATTTTAGAACTGGATTTCTGGGTGCTCACTGACGCAGCAGGAGTGAGGAGCAACTGGATGCAGCAGTGGATACCCACCTCTTGTACTCCAGGTACCCTTCCAACTGGCCCCAAAGCCCAGGCTGGACAGGCCTTCCTGGAACCCAAGGGTTCTCCTGGCCCTGTCCCTGGGAATCCAGGAAGGGTCAGAAGAGAAGGTGGGAAATGGGCTGAGAGGACTCTGGACTTCTCCTAGCTCAGGAGGGTGTACACAGGAACTGGARCTTCAAAACTTCAGTGAGGTAGATTCAGGACCAAGAGGATGAAGAAGGTGCTTACACAGCAGGCTCTGGACTTAGGAATCTCATCATCCCAAGAAGTGATGCAGGCTTTAAATCATACACACATTCATGGTTAAGAAAAAAATTGAATTGTTGGCTTTTACTGTTGAAATGGAACACACTTACATATTCTGGATTATAGGCCTTGATCAGATATTTGATTTTCTCCCATTCTGTGCATTGACTTTTCATTTTCTCTCTTTCCTTCCTTCCTCTACTGGGGATTGAACCCAGAGKCTCTCTACCACTGAGCCACATTCCAGCCCTTATTGATTGATTGATTTTATTTTGAGGCAGGGTCTTGCTGGGTTGCACAAGCTGGACTTGAATTTACGATTCTTCTGCTTCAGGCTCCTGAGCAGCTGGATTACRGGTGTGCATATCCATGCCAAGCTGTAACTTATTTTTGTTATATTTCAAGTGTAAAGTATTAAGAACAATATAATAGAGCCGTATGTTCCCACCACCATGGTTACACATGATTGACTTGGGCCCTGAATAACTGAGGCTGGTGCTTTTGAGATGGAGGAGCCCTGCCTCCTTCACACCCATCCAGAATCAGGCATTCTCGCCACACATTTAATACAAATCTCTCCTGCTCCCTCCTCTCCACTTTCTTCAGAGTCTCACTCCATCACCCCTTCTCTGCAACATCTCAACTCTTCCTCTCTGTAAGTTCTTTCTTTTTAAAATATTTTTTTTTTTTAGTTGTAGGTGGACACAATGACTTTATTTTTATTTATTTATTTTTGTGTGGTGCTGAGGATCAAACCCAGTGCTTCACCTGTGCTAGGTAAGCACTCTACCACTGAGCCACAACTCCAGCCCCTGTAAGTTCTTTCTTAGCAACCTTTAAATCTGACCTTATCATCTTCAGCTCCTTATGCGTACCCCTCCAGGTCTTGCTTGCCTTTCTCCAACTAGCTCCTCTGTTGATATCAGTTTGATCTTCCAAAAAATACACCTTGGGTCACCCACTCTCATCCAGGTTGAAAAACCTTCAGGGGCTTCCCATTTCCTTCTGGAAATTCTGAACTCTTTTCCTACAGATGACTTATGGGCTGGGAACGTTTATCCTCTTGAGAAATACCAGCACTTAGCACAGTACCTGACACATGCTAGGTACCCCATCAAGGAAGATAGGGACAGCCGTGTCACCCTCCCCGTAGCAGTGCAGCTGGTACCAGGAGAGAAAGAACAATTCTGAAAAAGCTCTGACCCCTTCCTGTCGGCACCCAAAAGGTGCCTCCCTCTGCCACCTCCCAGTCCTGAGAACACCCACCTTTCCCACAGAGACCCCAGCAGGTGGTTCTTCACAGCAGTTGAAATTGTAGCTATCCATGTGGCACGTGGGCATGGCCCTCCCTGGCAAAGTATCTTTTCCACTGGTGCCAGGGTGGGGATTTCACCCATTTTTGCCGATCACACACCAACCCCTCCCTGCTTCTGAATCTTGCCTACCCCACCAGGACCTCTTCTTTGGTGTCCCCCTCTGTAAAACAATGTGCTCTCCTGCTCCAGGAGGTATGAGGACTCTAGGGGGCTCTGGAGGAGAGGTAAAGAGGAATTTGGGGGGGGGGACTAGTTATTGCTGATATCAGTTTTTCTGGCAAACCAGCTTGGCTCTTGGATGGCTATAGCTGTATCTCAAGRTGGGGGAACTGGGTGCTGCCTTCCAACTTTCCCACGTCCTGGTACTCCTGTTAGATTTTCCAGAGCAGCCTGTAACCTGCAAATGGCAAAGCAAAAAGGGAAACAGGCTGGCTCCAGACACCTTTACTGCATGCCCATCCACCGGGAAGTACACCCCTTCCCCAAGAATGGCAAGGGTCATCCCCCACCAGGGAGCCACACTGTGCCCAAGCAGTGAGGGGTAGGGAAAGGCAGGAACAAAAAATCCAGTTTGGAAGGAGGCAGTTGGTAGAGGTCAGCAGTGTGAGGACTGAGGGCTGGGAAGCTGGTGGCAGCTGGTGGCTTTGGATACCTTCTGCATGCTGGAGGCTGAGGATGGAGATGGATAGTTTGCTGGTGGCTGTGTCACCATAAGGGGGATCAAGCAGGTCTCTGCAGAGGTAGAAGTCACCTCTAGTTGGACCTTCCAGGGTCTTGACAAATAGAAGAAATTTAAGTGCAAATCAGGTTTTAGCAAAGAGAGCAAGAGCTTTGCTAGGAAGGGTGAAGATACACATTCTCAGAGCAGAACCTGTGCCATCTTGAAAGCAAAATACAATTTCAGGGTATCTGGCTTTTTTTTTTTTTTTTTTTTTTTTTCCTGTGCTGGGGATTGAACCCAGGGCCTTGCACATGCCAGCAAGTACTCCACCACTGAACTACAGCTGCAGCCCCATGGGCTCTTCTTTTAAAGGCAACTTTGTGAGGGGGCGCTGGGAAGGCACGTGGGCACGAGGTGGGCCTGGTGAGCTCAGCTCTCTGATCCTGGGCACTGAGGGAGCTCCGGTCCCCTCCAGGGTCTTCAGGTTCACACCACCTCCTCCGTCTAGACAGGCTTTGGAATGTGCCTCGATGACAGGTTTCTTAAAGCACATCTTTGTTTTATCTAATCTGAAAATACATCCTGTGGGCTCACAGTACTCTAAAACTTTAATCAAAATGAGAGAATTTTCATAAATGAGTTTATTTACAGTAACTCTAATGTTTGTGGATTTTTCAGAAATTTAGGAGTGACCAGCCTGGAAGAAAAAAATGGGCCTGGGGCTTTTAGATTCATGGCTAGTCTCTTCTTCCTTACCCTTAGTCTCTTTTCTCTCTCTATTTCTTCTATCCTACCTCAGCTGGATGGAGGAACAGAAGCCTAGGGTCCCATCCTGCTCAGTGAACACTGCTCGGCCATGGGAAAGTGGAACTGTTCTCCTAGCACGGTGGTCCTGTCCAGCCCACGGCCGGGAAAGCTCCTTGAGGGCCCTACATGTCCATCCCACCGCCCTGGCCTCTCCCCTTTAACACCCTCCCCTTCTTTGTTGGGAGGGGTCCTGATTTTCCTTAACTCTGCCCAGAACATATGGGTCCTCTCTGGCTGTTCTTTGGGTCTTGGTATCCACCATGCTCACCTCACCTTCTCCCAGGGCTGGTGCTATAGCTGCCCATGACCTCCTAGCCTACCTCACCTGGTGGCCACCAGTCTTCAAGCCAGATGAAGATGCAAAGACTCCCTGAAGCTCACAGGTCCCCCCCCCCCCATGAACTCAGGATGAGCCACTAGGGACATCTGAAAACTGTCTTCATCCACCCAACCCTGGGCACAACGAAGCCTGTCCCTTCCTCCCGCTCTCTGTCGTCCTCTCTCCTGGAGCCTCCTGCCTGGGTTCAACCCGCCTCCACCATCCTTGCTCTCCTCCAACGACTCCACATTCCGTTAGAGCGCCCCTTTCTCCTCCACCTGCTCCCCTGCACCTGCCAAGGTCACTTCGTGGAAGTCGACACTCCTTAAGTTGAGGTGCAAGCTGATCTACAAGTTGGGGGAAGCCSAAGGGATTTCTCTGGAGGGTACGGGAAACCCTGCTACCTTTAGGACCTGGAGGATCCGAGTAGGGGGTCACCTGCCCCGCCCCCCAGCGAAGTCAGCTCCGGAACTGCTCTAATGGGAACCAGCGCTCGGGAGGGAGGGAGGGAGGGCGGCGGCCGCTGAGGGTTCCCGCTCCCACCTCGGTGGGGCCACAGGCGGCGCGCACCCAGCCGAGGGGCGGAGGTGGCGGTGGGGGAGGGGTGGCGCTCCAGGGACCCCCCACCGGCTCGCACCCTGCCCCCGGTGGGTCTCCAGTCRAATTCGGGGTGTGCGCCTGATTTCCAGAGGGAACCAACAGGGGCTTACCGGTCGCGTCCCCCACTAAGGGGACCCCCCAAGCCCCTGGGCCCTTCTGTCCGTTTCGTCCTCCTTCGTCCAGGGCCGAAGGGACAGGGGTGGCAGGAGTGGCGGGGGGCAGAGCCTCGAGGGGCAGCCTGGGCCGCCGGGAGGGTGGCACGTGTAGGGTCCCCGGGCTCGAGTGGGGGCGGCGGGAGGAGGCCTGACACAGGGGACCGCGGGGGGTGGCTGCGGAACGCGGGGTGGCGACTGGCGCGCAGCCGGAGAAGTGGGAGGGGACAGGTTGAGGGGTGGTCTCTGAGGAGGAGCCAGGCTGGGCCGTATTGTTCCGYGCTCGGCCGCCCACTCCGGAGCGCGGCGCGGGCCGGGAGGGCGCGCGGGGCGCCGGGCACTCGGCTTCCCGGGTTCCTCTGCCCGCAGCTGCCGAGAGGCGGGGGCCTCCCTGCGCCCCCCCGACTCGCTGCTGCCCGGCCCGCTGGGCGGGGTGGGRTCTTCAGATTCCGGAGAGAGAGGGGTGGTTGGTGTCCACGCACCTGGGACTCCATCGGGGGTCCATCGTGCGCCTCAGCACAGCCTCCTGCCGAAGGCCGGTGGGCGGCGGGGACGCTTGGGCCCCTGACTTGACCCCGCGGCGCCGCGAGCCCCCGCAGAAGTCGGGCGCCCGGGACCCCGCGATGGCCGCGGGCGGACACGGCCCCACGGAGCCGCTGCAGGACGCCGGAGCGCCCCTCCCTAGCGGAGCCAGCTGCTCCTAGTCCCCGGCCCCGCCGGCGGGATGGGGGGCGGCGGGTCGTCCCTGAGGGTCTGCGCGGATCACCGCGGGGGCATCAACTGGCTGAGCCTGAGCCCGGATGGGCAGCGCCTGCTGACCGGCAGCGAGGACGGCACGGCCAGGCTCTGGAGCACTGCGGACGGCCGGTGCTGCGCGCTCCTGCAAGGTAGACCTGACGGCGGCGCGCCCGCGACCCCTGCCTGCCTTCTTAGTCGCCCGCCCCCAGCCCCAGACCGTGGGTCTCAGCAAGTTCGTTCTCAGACCCTTCCTCAAAAAGTCCGGCCCAGCCCATCGCCTCACTTTCTTGAAGGAACGCTCCTCCGGGCCCAGCGCCCGACCCGTGAGCGCCCGACCAGGCGAGAGGAGATGCTGGGGTGGGACGGTGCGGGTGGGGCCCGGTGGGCAGAGGGGCTCCCGCCGCGCAGGCAAGATGACTTGTCCGCTGGCTGCTGGAAACCATTACCTTTCCAACACTATCAGCAAACAAAAGAATTCGCACTTTTGCTCCTGCTAAGCAGATCTTTCCAGGTCGCTAGATGATCTGGTGACCTTTGGCCAACTTTTCCTATTTGGGGCATTTTGGTAAAAAAAAAAAGGGGGGGGTTTGGGGGCGCGGCTGCGGTGKCGTGCAGCTACAGTGCCATCTTCCCATTGTGTTAATTTGCCCAGGGCAGCTCAAGCAGTGGGGGTCGACTTGAAATTTGAACTCCTTCCCTGCGGCCACCCTGCAAAGCTCTCTAAGGCCTCTTTCCAGTTGCTGCAAAGGAAGGGTGAGGAGTGGGATTGGTCAGGGTGGTTGTTCAATCTGTTTTGCATATTTGAGGAGGAGATGAAATATCAGGAGGCCTTCCCTTAGTAAAGTAAACATAGTCCCATGCAACCGCAAAGCTATTGGTTTGTGTGTGTACTCTTTCTGGGAGAGTGGGCCCTGGGTTTACCCCATCTTGGGCCTTTCCAGGGCCTGGCCTCTGAACTGTGTGTGAGGTCCCACTCTACCTTGGCTGCCAGGCTGCTGCATAGTTTGGGCAGTCCCCCTGACAAACCTTCACAGGGCCTTAGACTTCCTGCACCAGGGGGTGTAGCTCTTTTTTTTTTTTTTTATCACTGTGGACTTTTCTGCCATAATCAGCAAATCCTGGGTGGCCCCACCCAGCCCTTCCAGCTGAGATAGGATGTTAGCCTCCAAACTGGCTGATCCTGACACTGCTGTTTTCAAGTTAAAAACAAGTTAAGGTAGAGATTTCAAAGCCCCATAGGAATGAATTTTGGATCAACGGTTATTTGGGAGTTGGTATGGATAATGAAGAGATGGCCTCAAACACACACACACACAGACACACACACACACACACACACACACACACACACACACACACTCCTCCCAAACAGAGGCACTCACCTAGAAATGGAAGAGCTGAGATCAGTCAGAAAATTTAAACCCAACTTGTATCTATCCCCAAATGTAAGACTCTTTGGAGGAGGTTTCAGAAATGCAGTCTCAGGCCTGGGCTCCAGTGACTCCCCATGAGTAAAGCCCCAGAATGAGCATTTGTAACGGCCTTTCTGGTGGCCCTAATGCTCAGCCAGCCTGGGGAGCCCTCAGGCCAGCGAGCCTTGTGGGAACTCCACTTGCTCGGTGGGCTTCTCCCCAGGTAAGCTCCAGTCTTCTCCAGGCTGGTTCTGGTCTGGTGGACACGGGCCTGTCCCAGGGCAGCTTTGTAGCCTCCAGGGCCCACCCTGTGCTTAGCTCTGTGCTGGGCATCTGGACATTTGGCTTCACACCCACTTTGGTGGTCCCAGAGCTGCTTATCTACTTTCCATGAGGGGTGCCTCACCTGTCCCCATTGAGGGCCATCCCCACCGAAGCAGAGAGCTGTTGAATTAAAGGACCGTAGCCCATTCCTACAAGGGCTGGTTTCGCTCTTATTAAGGTTGACATTTCAAATTTTTTTTTGAGGACAGAGGGGATGGAGTATCTTCGATCTTGAGAAGTTACTTTACTGATTCAACTCTCAAGAATTACAGGGACGTGTTGTAGTTCTTTTGTGTGCTCACCTACTAAAGCAAGGTCTTGCTYGCTCCCTCTTCCTGAAGAGTTTGTTTTGGTCTGGGTGAGAGACTAGTAAGATGTCTGGACATTTGTTTCATTCTTTAAGTCTTATAGATGCACGTCTGTGTGTCCTGTATTGTGTGGTTAGTCCTCAYAGACTTATTTACCCCCACACAGAGCCCCTCAGTGATTTCCAGACTCTGCCCCATGGGGCGGGTGCTGTCTTCAACACCCCCAAGGTCCAGTGTGCTACCAGACTTGTCCCAGTCTCACGGCTGGCTCAGGGCAGAGAGGGCTTCTTCCCGCTGTGTGGCTGAACCTGTACTGGGGCACCACTGCAGGGGAAGTTGTGCCCAGGCTGGGTGGCAAGCCAGAGGGGCCCTGGTCCTTAGTGTTGCCTGCAGATCCAGGCATATCTCCAGTCCTGCCCGGGGCTAACCCCTCGTGCAGCTCTAAGCTTATAGAAGCCTCCAAATTAAAACCTGTCAGTTGGTCGTGGCTGGATTTCTTGGGCAGAAGGTTGGGGTTGGTGACTGTGCCATGAGCATCTCCTCTGAAGATGGGCTTCTTGTTTTATTCTCAGCAGCGGAGGGTGGTCAGGGGGCCAGAAGTTTTCAGTGTTCAGAGCTTGAGGGATTTGGGATCAAGGGGTAGAACGGGCACAAAGAGCGAGGGCTGTTTTCTGAGGGGTGGGGGTTTTCTGGGGTCATTGTCATTGCTCTTAGTGGCCCCAGAAGAGCTGCAGACCTGCAGAACTGGCTTGCTGGGCTGCCCTCATATGACCATGTTTACCTCTTTTTTTGTGTGTAGGAGGAATGTGGATTGAACCCAGGGGTGCTTTGTCACTGAGCTACTTCCCCAGCTCTTTCTATTTTTTATTTTGAGACAGGATCTCACTAAATTTCTTAGGGCCTCACTAAGTTGCTGAGGCTGGCATTGAACTTGCCATCCTCCTGCCTTAGCTCTGGAGTTGCTAGGGTTACAGGCCTGCACCACCACACTCAGCTCACGTTCAACTCTTAATGGAATTGGGCTCTCCAATGCAGTTGATGAGCTCACAATGAAGAAGAAGGCTTAATTACCAGCTATTCTGTAAAGAGAATTGCTCGGACTGAAATTATCCGCGGGCCCTCTCCTTTTCACTTTATGCAGTGGGTGTCTACTTCTTGGGAGCACTTTGATGGATCAAAGAGATAAACTGCATTTCCTAAAATGGCAGTACCTGTCCTGCGCAGTTCCTGCTGAGTAAGGGACTAAGCCTGACGTTTCCAGGCCACGTGGCTACTCCACACACTTCCTGCTATTCCCAGTGTGTTCCATGAGCCAGGGTCATGTTTGATGGGTTCAGGGGAAGAGGGTGCCTGGGCCTCAGGTAGAGCAGAAGCAAAGGCACAAGGTGAGACTCCCAAAGGACCAGGGAAAGCAGAAGAGGTGGAATGGGCAGGAAGCTGGCTGAGGAGCCGAGGTGCACTTTTTCCTTGTGCATACCACTCAGACATAATGTTTAGAAGGGCACAGGGGCTCGATGGGAAGGCGCTCAAGCACGAACAACACCCGCTTTGCCTGGGTCAGGGAGAATTCCATCAGAACACAGTCTGTCTGAGGTACAAGACCCGTGCTTAATTCATCCTTCAGTGCTCTGGAGACCACTGTCGGGGTGGTGGGCGCCCTGGGGGTGCCAGTTGAGGCAGAGAGGGAGGCAGGAGAGCCTGGGGGAGGTTGTGGGAGGGCCATGGCCTGGCTGCAGATGACATTGGGAGGAGTAGCCCTGCTGCACATGGGTGACCAGATGTGGGCAGCCTGGCCAGCAACTGGGGGCCGGAGGGCCTGATCCCACCACAGCAGTCCAGGAGGCCCAGGCTGCAGCCACCCTGGGTCCCCAGCGGGGGTTGGCAGATGCACTACCAGTGGCTTTGTCCRTGTTCCTTTCAGCCACAGCCCTGTGCGTCTGTGTTCAGCCTCACCCCAGAGGACATGAGGCGCTATGGCTGTGTGAGTGAGGGCCTGGCCCCCAGGAGCAGGTAACTCAAGAGCKTCTAAGAGAAGGATGCTAGAGAGGCTGGGCACAGTGCAAGTACCAACAGGGCTGTTGCCTCCTCTTCTGCGGGGGCACAGTCACCTCCAGACAGCTGTAGAGAGGACTTCTGCAGGATGGGGTGACTTGGTTAGAGGGGTACAGTCAGCCTGCGGGCCCTCTGGGTCARGGCTAAGGAGAGCATCTCCTGAGCAAGGACCGTGGGTGTCTGCACCCCTCTGGAAATGGGAGGATAGGACTCCCTTGAAGTCCACGACTCAAGGACAGGGACAGTTAGCTCTGGCCAGTGGACAGGTGCCACAGACAGCTGGGTAATGTCAAGAGCACAGTGCCATCCCTATYGCCTGGTGGCTGCTGGAGTGGCCGGTTGCTTTGTGGTTTAGTGCTGGGATACTGAGGAYGGAAGGCTTCCTTTCACACAGTCAGGGCACACGCCAGGTGGGGGTCCCCAGCTAGGCCTCTGGGCTGCTTTCACGGAGCAGGGAGAGAGCAGCTTGCCCCCAGACTCCTGTCAGCATGTGGGTGCTCAGGGAGGTGGGAAGGGCTGCTACCTTGGCAGAAAACCCTGGACCTTAGTGTGTTCTTTTGAACATAATAGCTGCATCTTATCTGCATTCTTCATCCTTCAAAAATATTTATTTTTAGCTTGGCGTTTTTGCTTACTCTGCGTAATTCCAACAGCTGAAGGCCAAGGCACTGAGGTCCCTGGGGGTATGATGGGCTCAGGATCTGGTGTGCATATTTTCCTCCTGCCCCCTGGGGTGACCCCACAGGCCTGGGTCTGTGGAATACTGGTCAAGGGGGTCAGGGCCGCACAGCAGAGTGGCGCCAGCTGGGGGGTGTGCTCAGCGCGTCCCAGGCCCCTCTGCTGGCAGGCTCTGACATGGGACCCAAGCGGTGTGTTTTCAGATGTGGGGTGAGTGCTCGGAGGGGGCTCGTTCACAGCAGAGCCCTGACCACTGTGGCAGCCTCTGCTGGCGGAAGGCAGATGACTGAGGGCATTGGTCAGCCTGGCTCGGGTTCAGGGGTTTTTTACATTGAAAACCTTAGAAGCTGGGCTGYAGCTCAGTGGTGGAGAGCCCCYGCCCTACAAAAACCCCAAAGGAAACAAAAGCACTTGGGCCCTTTCAGTCCCATCTCCTCCTGTCTTCTTCGTGTGCATTTACATATTTACGGATCTGCAGTCTGTGTTTCTGTCCCTTTTTTCCTTCCACCGTCATAAGGCTGTCCCACACCCCAGGTCTGCCGCAGTCCTGGTCTGGTGGCTTGAGCGCAGGTGCCCTTGCTCACCGGCTGTGCTGGGCTCTTACCTGCTTTCCTGGGGTTAATTTGGACTCGCCCCGCCCTCTGCCTTCCTGCCACGTTGATGGGCTGGGAGCAGCTGGCTCAATGCCTCAGCCTCCCTTTGGCCTCAGCTAGCTGTGTCCAGGGTCCTCAGGGGGCCTTGGACTGTGGCTCCCCTACAGGCTGGTGTGTGCAGCACCTGGGTGACCTTGACTGCCCTCCCATCCTGGGGTGTTCCTGGCCCTCGGGGACCCTGAGGCTGGGGGCTATACCCATCCCCCGTGGTGGCAGCAGGAAGACTAGGACAATCTCGTCTTAGGGAAAGTTTGTTGACAGCCTGAAAGGACTTTACAAACTCTGTGGAGCTGGCGAGAACCTGGCGGTGTTTGGCCAAACCCATTTTGCCCTCGACTTTTCGCCGATGTGTCTTTTAAGGGAAACATTATCTGCCACTTCTTCAAGTGTTTACTTAATTCCTACGTTGTTCTCGGAGCAGCGTGGTGTGTGTGCTCCAAGAAGACTGGAAAACTTTTATTTTTTCAAAAAAAAAATTCTGTTTCTTAGAACCCAGGAAGTTGACTTCTTCCAAAAGTAACTCAGCCTGTGCCCAGGACAAAAGAAAAGAAAAGAAAGAATGAGCTTAACAGCACCCTGAAGTCCCTGTCTGCCGGGCCCCAGMCAGCTGAACGAGGTTTTAAAATATCATCAAACCATTCTGGGTCTTTGGCAGCCCTGGTTGGGTGGCTGTAGTTCCGTGGAGTAAAGATCGTGCCACTCACTAACCGGGTCTGGTTTATCCGTGCTTTTCTTGGTTTAATTTAATTTAAAATAAGATTTAAAAATTCTTTAAAATGAGATCCTAATGTAATAAGTGCACCCCCCAAATACGTGAGTGCTTTAACTCCTTGGCCCTCCGTGTGGGACCTTCCTTTGATTCTGCTGATTTGGGCCCCGGATTTCCTCTCAGATGTCCCCGTTTTCAACAGCTGTTTTCCCAGGTGGAAGCACCTTACCTGAAGGACTGGCATCATCCTGGGCAAATCCCCCGAGGGCCCCAGGCCAGCTTGACAACAGCTCKGGCATGAACACGGGGGCCATCACACTACCTAGCAGGGGCCCCTGAGGGCAGGATGCAGGCCAGCTAGCCAAGGCTGGGGTGCACAGGGCCAGACCTGGGCCCCTGCTTGGCCTCCGTGCTTCACCCTACTCCAGCTGCCTGGGCCACTTTTGTTAGGCCCCTACATTCTGGTGAGAGCCTCCACATGTCCCCAGCATGGMCAGCCCAAGTCCGTCTGCTGTCCCTGACTCCATCTCCCCGTGTAGATCCTCTGGCCCTAGCACTCAGGCTTCGGCCCCAGGGAAGCTGGTTCAGCCACTGCCCCTGCTGAGCCCCTGGGCCACAGGCCTCACCCRATGACCTTCCTTCTGGGCTGGGGGCGCTCTTGGAAGGCTGGAGTGTGTCTTCTTCGTCCCCGTATTATGGCAGTGCCTTGGAGATTGTTGGTGCCTTTGAACAGCTGCCTTTTATTCTTGCACGGTTCCTGAGGCCAGAAGCCTGAAGTAAGCGTCCCTGGGACAAATCAAGGGGTCAGCAGGCCATATGCCCTCTGAAACCTGTAGGGGACAATCTTTTCTTTGCCTCTTCCAGTGTCTGGTGAAGGCTGGCATTTCTGTGGCCACATAGGCTGCTTTCTCTGCCCCCACATGGCCTTYTTCTCTTTGGTGTGTCAAATCTCCTTCTCCCTCTTATTTTTTGGTGGGGGAGGGTACTAGAGATTGAACTCAGGGCACTCATTCACGGAGCCACATCCCCAGCCCTATTTTGTATTTTATTTAGAGACAGGGTCTCATTGAGTTGCTTAGCGCCTTGCTTTTCGCTGAGGCTRGCTTTGAACTTGCGATCCTCCTGTCTCAGCCTCCCAAGCTGCTGGGATTACAGGTGTGCACCACTGCCCCCAGCCCTCTCCCTCTCTTATAAGAATGCTTCTGACAGCATCTAGGGCCCACCCAGATTATCCAGGACAGCCTCCCCAAGTCAGTTCCCCAACTTAATCATATCTGCAAAGAGCCTTTTCTGAGTCAGGTTCCAGGGCGTGTGCAGCACCTAGCAACCTGGGGAGCCCAGGCTTACCACAGTATCTCTGCCTGAGTGTAGGAGGAAACCAACACGCAGCATCTGCTAGAGGCTGCCACTGAAACTCCATCTGCACAGTGGTCTGCGGGGTGGGCGTTGACGCTGTTCCCATTTCAGGCGAGGGAATGGAGGTGTGGATAGGTGGGAGGACATACCCAGGTCAGTGAGTGGAGAATGGCAGGTCCCGTTCACTGGAAGAGAAGCAGGAGCTCCATCCGGGCCCTCTCCCCTCCTCTGCAGGACATGAGAGCTACGTCACCTTCTGCCAGCTGGAGGAGGAGGCTGCCTTCACCTGCAGCGCTGACTGCACCATCAGGAGGTGGGACGTGCTGACCGGGCAGTGCCTGCAGGTGTACCGAGGACACACATCCATCGTGAACAGGTCAGCTTGGCCTGGGGGCTTGGGCTGAGTCTTGTTGGGGGTCCCTGGCCAGGCTGAGGGGGGACAGAGTCATAGGGCCTGGCCCTTGGGGAACATAGGTTCTCCAGCGAACTCCGTGTGGACAGTAGCCCCCAGCAAGGGAGACCCAAGACAGAGGTGCACCCTGGCCTGAGGGCTCTGCCCGGGGCCGTTTGGGGTCTGGAGGAGGAAGAGCATCACCAACACATGGCGTTGTCTGCCCCCACCCCRGGGCTGGGCACATGCCCACACCTGCTGGGTGCCAGGAGAGGTGTTGGAGCTCCAGTGTCCACAGATGGGGACCAGGAGGAAAGCGCTGAACTGATACTTGATGGTGGACCAAGGGTCGGGGGGACATGCAGATTGTTCTGAAGAAGCAGTTGGGGTGTTTTTGAGCCCCGCCTTTCTATGTGGCTGTGGGAAGTCTCCACCTCCCCTGCTCAAGTTTGATTTTTTCCTTTCCTTATTGAACTTGGGTTGGAGCTGAGCAGGGGAAACTCCCCTGCTGATCAGATCAATTTGATACTGTTTGCTTAACTTGTGATGGCYGCCCCAGGCTCCCGAGGTCAGGCCTGATTCAGGGAGACTTGGCACCGTGGCCCTCAGCCACGTGGGCAGGAGGGGCCCTGCCTGGGAGGGGCCGGGCAGGCACAGAGGACAGGAGGTGCGCAGCCAGAGGGTCCCAGGCCACTGCTTGGGCTTCTAGCAGCTGGTGGGAAAGAGGGGCAAGGCGGACGGTCCAGCTGCTACAGACCTAGAGCCACAGTGGGAGCAGCTGGCTGCCAGGGTGTGCAGGCAGCATCCCTGAGGAGAAGGGGTCAGCAGGCCATGGGCAGTGGGCAGTGGGCGGGCCAATCTGGAGGCCCCGCGTGGGATGCCAGCCCTGCCTCCAGCACCACAGTGTTGTCCCCTCCTTCTCCTGAGGTGGGAGGCCTGTCCACTGCCAGCAGAGGGACGTGGCAAAGGAGAGGCTGGAAGGAGAACCCAGGCCTTGTCTTACAGCGAGGCTGGCTCTGAGCACTCTGTCCTGAGGAAGAAGATGTCATTGAAGAAATGTGTAGAGGCCATGACAGGGGTCAGGGGGAGGCCATGCCCTCAGGGACCAGCTCGGGCTGCTGACTCAGAAGGAGCGCTAGACAGTGAGAGGTGGAAATTACGCTCTGCCTGGTTTGGTTTCCTGTGCGTGCATACAACGCACACAMGCACACACATGTACTCAAGTACACAGGCATGCAGCATGCAGTCATATGGACACACAAACATGACCCAGCACATGCACACCTATGCACAYGTGCAGATATGCACGCACAGTGTGYACCCTGCAGACAGACACGCACCATGTGCACAGACATGCACACCCCCATACTCACACCATTGTCCATCGGAGGCTGTGCTCAACCCACGGCTCAGGTCAATGCCTGCGTGATTAAGTAACTGTGCGTCCAGTGGGTGAGAGCCTCAAGTGAGCACCTGGGATCACTGCCTCCCATGTTCTCAGAGAGTGGCCTGTGTGAGCTTTGGGAACACTGACCCTTCAGTGGCCTGGCATCCCTCCCCAGTGCCAACTGGGGCAGGAATCAGCTACCCGCCCCAGCACCCCAAGGCCACCCCCTTCAGGTCCTGAGACAGGAAGGGTCCTGACCCCTGGCAGGTCCTGGTCCCACGCCTGCACGGATGCCCCATTCGGACTAGAGGCATGGCCTCAGGCCTTTGTGGCTGGCGCACAGGGCTTAGAGTTGGCGTGTAAACAGGCCCTGTGAAGTTACGTGTGAAGTTCTGAACCAAAGACAGACGGTGTTTTTCTGGAAAGAATTTCTCAGCATTCAGCAAAATGACCATAAACCATGGCTGCTGCCTCCGGAGGCCTCCCCTCCTGTCCTGAGGCCAGCCAGTTCCASTGCATAAAAAGGCTCTCCTTGCTCCCCAGCCCTTTGTGTGCCAGGAAACCCATCAGGGCTGTGACCTGGAGCTTGCAGTGTCACCTGCATGGGGCCATCGTGACAGCTGACACAGGGGCCCACCTGCCTGCTGCAGCTTGTCACCCCTGGGCACCCTGCAGCCAGTGTCAGGGTGGACGTGTGGAATTCCTCAGCCGCCAGCCTCTCCAGAGCTCTCACTCTCCAGTGGCCCTGCAGGGAGGTGGCCAGCTGATCCTCTTAGTTCCTGACTTTAAATGGGAAGGCCTGTGTCCCCAGAAACCCTTCAGCTCTGGGCAAACTGGAAGGGTGGCACCCCACMTCCCCATCCCCATCTCCCACTCCCCTCGTTCATGACTGTGTGGAGCTGCGTGGAGAGGTGGAAGGGTCCAAGTCGGAGCCTTGGTCCCTGCTGTGGGTGGAGGCCAGGCCAGCAGGTGGCTCTGCGCAGGGAAGGGATTCCGTCAGGGGGCGTCCCAGGGGGTCTTGGTGGCTTCCTGGAATTGGGCTTTGAGCTGAACCTCGGCAGGTGAGGGTGTCGTCAGGCAGAGAGCAGGAGGCTGTCCAGCTGCAGTGCCAAGGCAGCCCGCCAGAGCCGTGGGCATCCTGGCYCTGACCTTGACCCTCTTGCACCAGGATCCTCGTTGCCAACAACCAACTCTTCAGCAGCTCCTACGACCGGACAGCTCGCGTCTGGACTGTGGACGAGGGGCAGGCGTCCCGGGAGCTCCGGGGCCACCGCAACTGCGTGCTCACGCTGGCCTACTCCAGCCCCTGGGAGGTCCCTGGCACACCCTGYCTGGAGGAGGCCGTGGCTGGGGGGCTCCTGGTGACCGGCAGCACGGACGGCACAGCCAAGGTGTGGCAGGTAGCCAGTGGCTGCTGCCACCAGACACTGCGGGGCCACACGGGCGCCGTGCTGTGCCTGGTTCTGGACGCGCCTGGACGCACGGCCTTCACCGGCAGCACCGATGCCACCATCCGTGCCTGGGACATCCTGAGCGGGGAGCAGCTGCGCGTGTTCCGGGAACACCAGGGCTCTGTCATCTGTCTGGAGGTGAGACCCGCCTGGCCACTGCCAGGGAGGCCCTGCGTCCTCTGGGCTGCCCTGCTCCTGTGCTGGCCAGCTCGGGCCACAGGACAGGTGCCATGGATGGGGGGCTGGACGTGTGAGATCAGGGGTCACAGGGCTGGTTCCTCTGAGGCCTCTCTCCTTGTTCTCAGTGTGGCTRCATCCTGGTCTCTTACAGGACCAGTCCGATTGGACTAGGGTTCACCCCGATGACCCTTGGCCTTATTTTAACTTAAATCAACTCCTTAAAGACCCAACATCAAATAAGTTCACATTCACAGGTTTGGGGACCAGGGGCAAAGCTCTCAACAAACCCCCAAGTTCTGAAGCTCAATGCTCAGCTTCTGACTGTGCCTGAGGGGTGTGGGCCAGACTTGGAGGGGCCCAGAGCAGGTGTCAGCTCTTGCCCCAAGAGCCACATGTGGTGACACACACCTGTAATCTCAGAACTCAAGAGGCTAAGGCAAGAGAATCACAAGTTTGAGAACAGCCTTAGCAACTTAGAAAGACCTTGTCTCAAAATAAAAAATAAAGAGCTGGTAACAGGTGCCATGGTAGAAAGACCCTAAGTTAAATTCCCAGTACCTGCCAGAGAGAGAGAGAGAGAGAGAGAGAGAGAGAGAGAGAGAGAGAGAGAGAGAGAGAGAGACATTTTGAAGATAGCTGGTATGTTAAGTTTTTCATTGCTATGACAAAACACCTGAGAAGATCACCTTAGGAGGAGGAAAGTTTTATTCTGATTCACAATTTCAGAAGTTTCAGTCCTTGGTCACTGGGCCACATTGCTTTGGACCTGTGGCAGCACAGCACAATATGGTGGGAGCATGTGGCAGAGGAAGGGAAGAGAGTGAGGAGGAGCCAGTGTCCACCATCCCCTTCCAGGGCACGAGTGCAGAGACCCAACCCCCTCCTACCTCCTAAAGGTCCCACCACTGCCCAGCAGCACACCAGCTGGGGACTAAACCTTGAACGCGTGGCCTTTGAGGGACACTGAAGAGCCAAAGGGGAGTGACCTCCTGCAGGCTGTGGCAGAGGTGCTGCTGCACCTGGGGTGAGGTGTTGGCYGCATGTTTAGGCCAGCGCCAGGCTCCGTGTGCGCTGTGCCCCGTGTTTGTCCTCAGCGCCACCCTCTGAGGCAGGGATGATCTTTCCCAGTCACACGAGGGCAAGCAGGGGCTCTGAGGGAATGAGTCACCTGTCCGGCCTCCGAGTCGTAAGGAGCAGAGGCAGGTCTGAACCCAGGAGGGACCGTATCTAAGCAGGTGTGCAGGAGTGTCCAGTCCGCTCAGGGCTGGAGGGGGACAGCCGGCTGCAGAGGCCTTGCTGACTGTGGCTCAGGAGGTTAGAGCCTGRTCTCCCCTCGGGGTCCAAAGCCCAGTGCACTCCCTGGGGCCTGGCCCTGCTCGGGGCCCAGCCAGCCGCCTCCCTTTCCCTCCTGCCCCAGGGACCTCAGCAGGGCTGGGGACTCTCTGCACGGCTTTGGTGGGTCCCCACTCCCGGAGGTTCTGCCAGCCCTGCGGAGGCCGGCGAGCCCAGCAGCTGACCTCCTGCTCCTCCCGCAGCTGGTGGACCGGCTCCTGTACTCGGGCAGCGCGGACAGGACTGCCAAGTGCTGGCTGGCACACGAGGGGGAGCACGTGTGCACCTTCCCCGCCCACAGACACAGCGTGAGCACCCTCAAGTACCACGCGGGCACCCGTAAGTGACCTGTCCCCGCACTGCCCCGTGCCCCAGCCGGCCGAGGCCCCCTGCCGAGCTCCTCCTGCATTCCTCCTGGCTTGTCCCCTCGGCCTCTCTCTGCCCTCAGCGACTGGCCTTGGCTATGGTGCCCAAAGCCAGCCACCCGGCCTTCCCCGGGCACCGGCTCCTCCAGCGGCTGCTGCTGCTTTTTCTTCTCCTTCTCCTTCTGTTTTTTCAAAGAAATTCCAACACAGAGTGGGGGGACTCCTCACCTTCACAAGGATGTGGGGAGACTGCATGTTCAGAGGTCCTGGGGTCAAAGCATGTCTCAAGGACACATTCTAAGGCTTCAAGTGAGACAGCAACACCCCCCTTAAACCAGCCAGATTCGAGGGCCCATGGGCTTGGCCCCCCTTGGCCGTAGGTGTAACTGCAGATGAGAGGAAACCCGGAAAATAGAGGTTTAAGTGAGGTAGCAATTCTTCTTCTCTCAGGTAAGAGAGGCCGGCAGCCTTGGCTGGCGTRGGTGGCTCCACAGGGTCCTCAGCACCTCAGTCCTTCTGTCAGCTGCTTCTTCATTCTTTGCACATGTCTTCTAGCTTTAATGAAGCATCATGTTCAAGATAGCTGCTGAAGCACCAGCCATCATGTCATGTTTTTGGTGGGAAGGAAGAAGAGGAGGGAGGAACAAAGGGGTGCATCTTCTGYAGCCAGCTACCACCCTGCAGCTTTAACAGAAAAGATGGGATAGGCTGGGCGCTGTGTAATCCCAGTGACTTGGGAGGCTGAGGCTGGAAGATCACGAGTTTGAGAGTAGCCTTGGCAATRTAGTGAGACCCTCATCCACTTAGCAAGACCCTGTTTCAAACTAAAAATGGCTGGAGATGTGGCTCCGGGGTAAAGCACCCAAGTTCAGCCCCCAGTACCAAAAAAAAAGCCAGGACTAGGCGAGTGGAGGCAGGAAGGACGTGGGTAAGAGACAGATGTCCAACACCAGAGAGCCCTAGAGAGGTGGGCCTTGGTCAGGCTCTGGCTGCGGGTGAGCGGGAGGCACTGGAGGGATCCTGCTGCAGCACCTCTGGATGCTGGGAGTCAACACCCCAAAGAGCCCCCTCGGCGGGTGGCCAGTGGGAGCTGGCAGATAAAATGGCATGGGGCTCTTGCTTCCCAGGGGCTCAGCCTCTGCAGGGCCCAGCAGCCCACAGGAGTTACCTGCTCCCGCCCAGACCCTGTTGGCTTGGTTCCTCCCCTGACCTGGTGCTTCCTGGCGTCTGCCTTAGTGCCAGGGTCACTCCTGGGGTGTCCAGCCTCCAGGCTGAATTCTCCGTGTGGCCCCCAACCAAAGGCATCACCTGGAACTAGTTAGAAATGGAGAGTCCCAGGTGCTACCTGCTACATCAGAAGCCTGGCACAGGCCCTCCAGGTGACGCTGCTGCTCCTTCAAGCTGGAGAACTGTGAGGCTAAGTTACAATGGAGGGAAACCCAAGAGGGAGCCAGACAGGCAGAGGCTTCTCCCGGCCAGGAGTCAGAGGAGCACGCGAGTGAGCCCAGAAGGCCGGGCGCTTCTCAGAAGGCAGACCGAGGACTGACTGGTCCCTGTGGGGGCAGGTGCGGGGTGGGGCAGGGGACAGAGTCTGCTGGCCGTGAGGACCATCCTGAGCACACCAGGCAGAGAGGCCAGCTTCACCAAAGGGCTCTGGGAGTGGGACCTTACCCTGGGAAGCCCTAATGAGGGACAGGGCCACTTGGGGGACAGTGAGGCCCACTTGAAGCCAAGGAGGGCGTGGCAGCCACCAGCCCTGCAGAGGCAGCTGCAGACGGGGAKGGGGAGGGGGTCTCCGCCCCTCCAGTCTGTAGAAGGAGCTCAGGTTCCTTTTGGAGGCTCTGCTGCTTCCCTCTGGAACCTTGGCCACCCGGTGAGGCAGGCCCCAGTACCAAAAWAAATAAAATAAAATAAAAGCCGGGACTAGGTGAGTGGAGACAGGAAGGATGTGGGTAAAGACAGATGCCCAACACCAGAGTCTCAGAGAGGTGGCCGTGGTCAGGCTCTGGCAGCTGGGCACGACAGTGCGCTGCTATATGTCCACAGTATTCACGGGCAGTGGGGATGCCTGCGCCCGGGCCTTTGACGCGCAGTCGGGAGCGCTGCAGAGGGTGTTCCGGGGCCACAGCTTTGTCATCAACTGCTTGCAGGTAGGAGCCTCCCTGCCCAGCTCCTGGGGCCTCAGTAACTTGCTGGGGAGGGAGGGTGCTTGGGCCTGGCCAGACTGCCCCTGGGGACAAAGCAGAGGCCCTCCAGCTGTGGTGGTTTCTGCCTGGTGTCCTGCCCTGTGGTGGGGGAGTCCTGAGTCTGACAGTCCACTCACCTGCCTGCAGGTGCATGGCCAGGTGCTCTACACCGTGTCCCATGATGGCACGCTGCGCCTCTGGGACATGCGTGGTCTCCGGGCCCTGCCACCCACGCCTCGCAGGCCAGCAGCCAAGCGCAGCCTGTCACGCCTGTTCAGCAACAAGGTGGCCTGTGCCCCGGACACACCGCTGCAGGCTGCCTGAGCCACAGAACTGCCACTGCCTGGGAACAGCAGGCGGTGCCCAAGCCCAGGCTCACAGAGGCAGGCCTTRGCCTCTGCTCCTGAACTTTGCCGAGCCTCAGCTGCAGGTGATGTGTTGGGATGAGGAGGTGTGTACCTGCCCTGGGGGATGGCTCCCTTCCCCTGGGGGAGGCTCCTTTTTGTCCCTACCTCCTGAGCTAAGACCTTGTCACCTGGCCTCCTCTGAAACCCTCCCAACTCTTGAGGACTCCAGTCTGATGCCCCCAAGCTCTGGAAACTTCTAGAAACCTCGTGTGGCTGGCCCCTTCCTGCTGAGAGGAAATGAGGACATTTCTACTTTGGCAAATTTTTCTGGCAAATTGTGTCCTGAGGACCCTCATGAAGAACTCAAATACACACCCTCTAAAGCTCAAAGCGCGAGTGTGTCCTGTTGTTTTGAGCTSCACCGCACACACCCAGCCTGGGCCACCTCCCCTGCCTGTGGTGAGGGGCTGCCAGCAGTACTGCTCCTGGGGAAGGGGCTGTGGGAAAGGCCAGGGCCCAGGACGGCTCTTCAGCCTCTCCAGCTGACAGCAGGTGCCACTGCTTTGGAGCGTCCATCATCTTCTGGCCTGAATCCATGGGGGTCTTCCCACAGCTCTTATCCCCTTGGTGGTGCCTAGTGTAGGGAGAGCAGCTGCAGGTGATAGTGTCTGTCATTAAGAGAGCAGCATCTCGCTATGGGCACCTCCCTGCTCAGTGTACAGGTGCTGCCCGGCAAGGTCTGCCGTGCCACAGGCCGCACCAGCTCTCCAAGATGGCCAGGCCTGAGGGGGACCCCCCACAGGGACAAGGGCAGTGAGGCACATCCGTGATGATGCTCCAGGTCAAACCTGCAAATCCCAGGAACCAGAGCCTCCCCAGCCCCCAGGAGGTCAGGCCTCTTGATGACCAGCAGTCAAGCAGGAGACCTCGAATGGGGCCGGTGCTGTTCTCCGGGTGGGCTTGAACACACATGTCCACTCTGGGAGCCATCAGGACTGAATTGAAGTTTCAGGAWGCACAGGCAGAGAACCACTGTGAGTCCCACCGGGGAGCGCCAGAGGGAGCAAGTCCTAGGCTGGCGCTGATGACCCCAGCTCCAAAATGCAGAGACACAGAGTGTGCAGTGCAGTCTGTCAGATGCTCTGAAAAAAGGGAGGAACCAGAAACAGCAGTGTATCCCAGTGGTAAGCGCTTGCCCTGCCCCTGTGAGGCCCTGGGTTTGATACCAACACTGCCACAAGAACCAAAAATCAGGTGTTCGCCTTTGATCAATCGATTCAGTTGGCTGAGGGGAGGACAAAACAGGGCATCTGGGCAGGAAAACAGGGACAGGGTGTGGTGGTATTACCAGGGCCAAAGGCAGACAGAATCTGATAAGTGGTCAGCATCAAGGACACCTGGCCAGGTCCAGCAYGTCACTGCACTGCACAGCCTCAGGCTGACCTTCCCGTCTCCGCTGCGCTGCCCTAGGTCCCCTACCCACCTGGTGTTCACCTCTGGCCAGCCCCTACCCACCTTTCTGGGCTGACTGGACTCGCCAATCCTTAGACCCTCACTCTTTTCCCACACGCCTCCTTGTGGGTCCAGAACCCTCTCCAGCCCACAAAYACGCCACACTCAGCCTGCCACCCTGCTGGGATCTCACCTGACCAGGCATGCAATGTTCTCCTTTCTCCTGACCCTTCAAGGAGAGCCCTCCCAGAACCACTTGGTAGCAGGCCTCTGTCCCTCCAGCCTCGCTTCTGCTCTTGCAGCCACTGCCCAGAGAGGCCCAGGTTGGGTCTCAGCTGCTGGCTGCTTCTGCAGTGCTGGCCACTTCGGAGTGGGCTTCCTGCAGCTCTCTTGTGGCACACAACAAAACCAGGGCCTGCTGGTGCAGCTGTGGTGCCCTCGGCTTTCCCATCGGCATTAAAACAGGAAGCCAGAAGCCACAACTGGGACCAAATCCTTAGCTGGTGGCTGYTCCCCACACAAGCCCTGCAGGTCCACTTCACACCCCTGGCTGAGGGCTGCTCCCTCGCTSGCATCAGCACAGCCCCGCCTTTCACGAGACCATGGCTGCTGGTGGTCAGACCCAGGGCTGTGCGCATGCTGGCAAGGGCACCCCACTGAGCAACACCCCAGCTCGCCACTGCTTCTGAGCACAGCTTTCCATTCCTCGCAACACTTGCAATGGAAACGAAAACCCAGGTCACCCGGACCCTCTCAACAGGTAAAACCCAGAGCTCGMAGAATTTCCTGCAGTAAGGCTGACAACTCCCGAGTGTATTTTCCACTGTTTATTTCCATCAGTACCATCCATTGAAAGAGAAAGACAAGATTCCCACGTTCCAAACCAGACTGTGGTGCAGCCTCCGCAGTCAGACCCGATGGCAGCATGTGGCCCATTCTGCCGTCTGAGTGTTCTGGCTGCTTTTAGAAGGGTCTTAGGGAACATGCCTGGCACTTGATCCACTCCCCACCTGGCAGCTGCCTGGGTGCCGGGTGTTCCCCTAGCACACACTCCAGATGAACGCAGCATGGCAAGAAGTTATTAAAGCCGACAGAAGGCTGACCACACAGCTTGAGGGAGTCTTCTATCACAAGCTACAACAAAGATCCCCACCAAAATCTTGGGAAAATATTTCTAAATCTCTGATAGGTCTCTTGGCTAACAGCGAGTTTCCTATGACAGCAGAGTCTAAAAATGTTAATTAAAAATAAGTTGCTTTGGTTAGCATTTAAAACTTTCCCATTTAATAAAAGATTTTGTATGAGGAATTTTGAATACATAAAGTCTGATTTTCAGCTTTGAATTTCAAGTGCATATTTTGCAGAACTGAGAGCACAAAACACTGACATTTCAAGATAAAGGCGTCTGCCACAATTTCATCTGGCTACTGCAGCCCGTGCCTCGTTTTTATGCCCCACAGCACTTGGAACGGAGATGTAAAGGCTGACCGTGGGGCAGGAGGGACGGTGGTGTGGGAGCACGTGGGGGGAGCAGGGCCCACACMGTGGCTGGGAGGCCACAGCTTCAGCAGCAGGCACAGCAAAAAGCTGCCCAGGAGGCGGGTGACAGGTCTGGTCACAGTCCCTGCTGCTCCCCTTCCCCCGAGACCTTCCTGGGACACCCTCTTCTCCAGCAGCAAGCCTGCTTCCTACTGGGTGAAAAATCAAGCAAAGGGCAGAGTTAGGGTGCACACCTGAAGGCAGAGGGGAAAGCAGAGCAGGCTGCGGAGCCAGGCAGTGCCTTCCCCAGGACYAGCCTCTGGCCCCCGCAGGCCTATGAGGGTCCCTGTCCGCCCCTCCTGTACCCAGAGGAGGAAGCACGCTTGCAGCAAAATCAGATGAAAAGCAAGAACAAAAGGAAGACCTGCAGGAGACTTTTCATAATGACAGAATTTATAAGCAGAAACTTAGTACTTCTTTGTTCACTAGTTTTTCTTTGCTGCTGACTTTATATTTTCTACATAGGACAAGTACTCTGCAATAATAATCTCTTCATCTTCCAGAGTCGAGTCAAGGTAATCCTCCTCGTGCTCAGGAATGTCTTCCAGTATCTCATTGACAGCCTCTGTCTCCATGTCCTCGTCTGTCGAGGCGCTGGAGGTCCCTACAGTAAGACACACAGTGAGGGACCGCGCCAAGGCCCCTGCGACACACTTCCTGCTGGCCACCCTGTCCCAGGAACATCCTCCTCAGTCTCCAGGTCAGCCTCTCCCTCAGGCCCATGCCTGGGGTGTCTGCTCTCCTGGTGTTCAGACCTGACCCACCTGCAGAATCCGAAGGGGACGTGGATGGGGTGGACGAGGAGTCCTCCCCCGAGAGCTGCAGGTCAGGAGGAAGGATCCCTCCGTGGTGAGCGAGGGTCTGAGCCGCCAGCTGGACGTTGCCCCTGAACACCTTCAGCGCGACCTTGGCCACGACTGTGTCAAAGCCCATGTATACCAGCTAGGGGACAGAAAAAGGCCACGGATGTCATGCTCACATGCTGCATGGACTGTCACATCCACGCTCATCTGTGGTGCGCAGCATGYACCCTGCCCTTCTGACAAGTCACCCTTCAGCCTAGCATGCAGGAGGCCACCAGGAAAGGGTYGTGGACGACCTTGGTGCAATGGGTTGTGTGGCCACCTCAGGGCTGGGAGCAAAGTGCTGTGTGAACTCAGGCACAGGTGTCACGAGCTCAGCGGCCACCAGGCGTGGGGCACTTTAACTTGTGGGGAAAGTATGGCTGGAGTCGTCACTTGTCACAAGGTGGATGGACTCCACAGGACAAAGGGATGTCCTTTTGGTCATATGCAGAGAACTGGGGATGATGTAAACAGTGGTATGTGGAAAAAAGAGGCAAGCTAGAGGAAGACGGCCTGCGAGGCTTTCTGATTTTTCCTGCTGCGCGTGCTGGCGGCCCTCCCTCGCAGGTCCTGCCTGGAGCCTGGAAACCTGGGCAGCAGCATAGCTTGCCCTGTCCTGCCGCCACCCTGCCCTCCCCAGCCAGCCCACCTGAGGGACCCGGGGCRCCAGAGCTGGGGGCGTAAAGGCCAGTCACTCACTTGGTCAATGCTTTCCTGGGAAGGGCTTTCTCGGCTATTGGTATCAGAATCTGAATCTTTTAACCACATCTGAGGGTTACTGAGGAGAATCTGAAAGCACAGGGACACCGTGACTCACCACAACTGCCCACGGGGCCAGGGCACAGCACCCACAGTGCACCAGCAGACAGCCCAGGCCTGTCTACTTGTAGCACAGACAGACCACCTGGGACACTGTGGTGGGCCATGCGAAGGTGCCATAAAGCCAGGAAAGGGGCCCAACCCAGACTGGGGGCCAAGCTGTGTTTGCAGAAGGCTCCAGTCAAATGTCACCTCAGACTGGAGGTTTGAAGGGGGAGCAAAAGTGACCAGGAAAAAAGCTCCCTTCTTCCCTGGGAGCAAGACGTGCCAAGTGGAGAGCAGGAGGAGGCAGCTCAGGAGGGCACACGGTTCCGCCAGAGCG